TCATTGCTTTCGGAGGTGGATGCTGCTGTTTGGGAACGCAGTCGTGTAAGACATTTCTGGGAGGCAATTTTACAGAAATACTTTGACAGATTTGCTCGTACATTTCCGAATGACCATAACAACATTTCAGATGCTGCGGAATGAGATCGGTCCGCTGGTTAGTCAGATTTTGCTGTCCCATAGCGCAAAGTCACATGACTTTTTGATGCGCTTGGAGGAATTTATTCGCAAAATGCATTTCCATCTCGCATTATTCACATTGACCCTTTTTTGCACAAGTCAAAAACCACCTCAAGCAAGCATAAAACTTTTTTGCGAATTAAGGGATTTTTATTTGAAATTTGGCGTTTCCATCACTCGTTTCTCATGCGATACTTCAATATGCGCATTAAAATAGGGTGATGGAAACATAGCTTCTGATTGGTCGTTCTCTGTCTGTGTGTCAGTAGTTCTCTCTCTGTCTGTGTCAGTAGTTCTCTCTGATTGCTCGTTCTCTCTCTGTGTGTCAGTAGTTCTCTCTGATTGCTCGTTCTCTCTCTGTGTGTCAGTAGTTCTCTCTCTGTGTCAGTAGTTCCCTCTCTGTGTGTCAGTAGTTCTATCTGATTGGTTGTTCTCTCTCTGTGTGTCAGTAGTTCTCTCTGATTGGTTGTTCTCTCTCTGTGTGTCAGTAGTTCTCTCTCTGTGTCAGTAGTTCCCTCTCTGTGTGTCAGTAGTTCTATCTGATTGGTTGTTCTCTCTCTGTGTGTCAGTAGTTCTCTCTGATTGGTCGTTCTCTCTTCTCTCTCTGTGTGTCAGTAGTTCTCTCTGATTGGTCGTTCTCTCTCTGTGTGTCAGTAGTTCTCTCTGATTGCTCGTTCTCTCTCTCTGTGTCAGTAGTTCTCTCTGATTGGTCGTTTTCTGACTGTGTTTCAGTTGTTCTCTCTCTGTGTGTCAGTAGTTCCCTCTCTGTGTGTCAGTAGTTCTATCTGATTGGTCGTTCTCTCTCTGTGTGTCAGTAGTTCTCTCTGATTGCTCGTTCTCTCTCTGTGTCATTAGTTCTCTCTGATTGCTCGTTTTCTCTCTGTGTGTCAGTAGTTCTCTGATTGGTCGTTCTCTGACTGTCAGTTGTTCTCTCTCTGTGTGTCAGTAGTTCTCTCTGATTGGTTGTTCTCTCTCTGTGTGTCAGTGTTTGTCTCTGACGGCTGCTCCTGCTCCTCCTCAGCTGTGATGTCTGCGCAGGAGTGATGGTTTAGCGCAGCGGTCAGCCGCGGCCGAGCGTGGGATGTTACGCTGGACGGTGCACCTGGAGGGCGGCCCGCGGAGGGTCAACCACGCGGCTGTGGCGGTCGGACACAAGGTCTACTCCTTCGGAGGATACTGCTCCGGAGAAGACTACGAGACCTTGAGACAGATTGACGTGCACGTCTTCAACACGGGTTAGTTCGGTTAACCGCCCTCTACCAACCACTGCAAACCTGCATGTAAATGTGAGGTGAACTGATTCAAACGAGCTCCACACAGCAGTCAAATTCAGATGAAAATCATCTGCTTTATGGAGGATAGACGCACAGAATAATACACTGATGATAAATGAAAGAAAAACAATATCAGCTGTTTCTAATGTCAGTTTTCTGGATTATAAGGTTGAATGTGCCATAACTAGGCATATGACGTTATCAAATTTTCATGTTGCGATTAATTGCTAATGCTTTTATCACAGTATACGGTATTATCATATTGAAATGTAGTTGCAAAAAAGTGGTCATAATACAGTATAACAGTTTTTTTAAATATATTTATCAGTTTACAATATAACAACAGTCAACACAATAAAAAAAAAAAATCTACATTACATAGCATCAGAGTATACAAATATGAAAACATACATCATCAAATCCAAATTTTATTAACAAATTAAAACTGAAATCAAATGATAGCACATGAATGGTCAGTGTGTGAAAACAATGGATATTAAGTTATATAGACACGAGTCAAAGGGTTCATACCAGGTCCAAAAAATATTCCAGGTCTCTAAGATGATGTGGGTTCTGTTTTTTATATACTGTTTTTTATATTCCATATGCAGTGTGTGTTTTATGATATTTTTAAATAATTAAATTGTTGAAGGGTGTTCCTTTTTCCAGTTTATTAGAATACATTTCGTAGATATGTTAGAGATCAAGACCTACCCTTTTGATTATCGTGATATATCGCATTGCTGAATACCGGCACATGTCTGGCCATAAGTTAGCTTTCCTGTACATCACTGGTTTGCAACACCAAGGTCATGGGTTCTATTCCCAGGCAATGCATGAGCTAAACATGTGTGTAACTTGAATGCAGTGTAAGTTGGTTTGGATGAAAGCATCCGTTGAATGCATGAATGTAAGTGTAAGTCAGTGTGTGTGTGGTTCTTTCAGTGTCTCTGCGCTGGACGAAGCTGCCGCCGGTGCGCACCGGAGGAAGGGAGCACGCTCGGGAAGTGCCCTACATGCGCTACGGACACACGGCGGTGCTGGTGGAGGAGACGGTGTTGATCTGGGGCGGCCGGAACGACACAGAGGGCGCGTGCAACGTGCTGTACGCCTTCGACGTCTGTAGGTGTCCCACAGAATGAATGCTCTCAGGTTTATCTTCACTGTCTTACACTGATGTTTTAAGCCTTGTGTGCTGGAAATCCTTTACCTAACCTGGCCAAACATGGCCAGCCTTTTAATATATATATTGTGAATCCCTTATTATGCTATATTATCACCAAATCTTACATTCAGTCTTTTTATCAACTTGTTTTCAGTCAGTCAGGTTTGTGTTTATTTTTAAAGCTGATGCTCCTCAGTTTTTGAGTGAACATAGCCAAAGGCTTTTTTTCATTCAAAAACTGAGTGAGCGTCAGCTTTAAAAATAAACACAAAACCTGTGCTGATTGACTGAAAAAGACTAGGCCTAATTGTAAGATTTGGTGATAATATGTGACCCTGCAGCACAAAAGCAGTCATAAGTCGCTGGGGTATATTTGTAGCAATAGCCAACAATACATTGTATGGGTCAAAATTATACATTTTTCTTTTATGCCAAAAATCATTAGGATATTAAGTAAAGATCATGTTCCATGAAGATATTTTGTAAATTTCCTACCGTAAATATATAAAAACGTAATTTTTGATTAGTAATATGCATTGCTAAGAACTTAATTTGGACAACTTTAAAGATGATTTTCTCAATATTTAGATTTTTTTGCACCCTCAGATTCCAGATTTTCAAATAGTTGTATCTCAGACAAATATGTAGGGAGGTTTCTTGAAGCGTCAGTTCTTCTGGATTGAGTCTGTCTCAGTTTGTTCTGTTTCTTCATGTCATTCCAGACAGACTGATGATGATCAGATCAGATCTCTAACCTAGTGTGTGTGTGTGTCTGTCTGTGTGTGTGTGTGTGTCTGTGTCTTTGTGTGTGTGTTTGTCTGTGTGTCTGTGCCTGTGTGTGTGTGTGTGTGCGTGTGTGCATGTGTATGTGTGTGTGTGTGTGTCTCCTCAGCTCAGCACCGCTGGTTCACTCCCAAGATCTCCGGGACGGTCCCAGGTGCCAGAGACGGACACTCGGCCTGTGTTCTGGGAAAGGCGATGTACATCTTCGGTGGATACGAGCAGCTGGTGCGTAACTGCAGAGATGGAGTGATTATAATCAGCTAACGAGCGCGTGACGAAGTGTCTGACCGTGTTTGTTTTCTCAGGCTGACTGTTTCTCCAATGAGATTCACAAGCTGGACACCAGCAGCATGTGTTGGTCACTAGTGAGCGCCCGGGTGAGTGTGATTCGCTCAGAAACCTCACTAGTCTCTTATCAACAGGTGTGCGCATGCATCATGACATCATCACTGTGCTGCAGCAGAGCATCATGGGATATAAGGTCTGCCTTATGCAGCAAAAAAAAAAGCAAAAACATCTTAAAATTGTATTTTTGCCAACTGCAGTAGAGCTGTTTTCTCCTGTGTGTTTTAGTGAATAAGTATATATTTAGATTTCATTCTCTTCCATCCACATGCTTGGATGAAAAGACTCATGACCTTCACTGCTGACCAAGCATTACTCGCAGTTTTAGCTCAGAAGAGGGATATTAGATGGTGGTATAATTCATTGTTTAAGAACGGATCTTTGATGCTCAACAGCATGATCTGTGTAGTCAGCTGACTCTGTATTGAGACGCAGCCGGTGTTTGTGGTCTTCTGTCACTAGATGGCGTCATAGAGCTTCATCAGGTCCTGATCTGTGTGTCTATAGAGCAGGATGTAATGGACAGTATGTGATTCTCACTCACTGTTACTGTAATGTCAACAGACAGTGGTGTGAGTGAGTGTGTGTGTCTGTGTGTGAGTGCATGTGTCTGTGTGTGTGTGTGTGTGAGAGAGTGTGTGTGAGAGAGTGTGTGTTCAAGATCTTCGACACGGAGACAAACTGCTGGCTAAACACACCGTCTGCACAGCTGCTGCCCGAGGGACGCAGGAGCCATTCTGCCTGTGAGCAACACACTCACTCACTCACTCACACACACACACACACACACACACACACACTCACACACTCACTCACTCACACACTCACACACACACTCACACACTCTCACACACACACACACGAGGTGAAACTGTGTATATGTGTTGTTTAAATCTCATTTTGTCATTTTTTTCCTCTGAAAGTTGCCTACAATGGAGAATTGTACATATTCGGTGGTTATAATGCTCGTTTGGATCGACACTTCAACGACCTCTGGAAGTTCAATCCAGGTGATTCTTTTCTGTCTTAGCTGTTGGTACAAAATCCAAAACCCAACAGTAAGTACGTTATTTTCAATTTCACACCAGCATAAAACAGGAAGTTGTTGTAACTCATGTATACAATGCCCAATCTGCCCTGGCCTGAACACATCTAAAGGCCAAGATTCAGTTATAGTCTGTTGGCAGTAGGACGTTTGGCACATATAAATGACTTGGACATATTCCTCCTATATTTTCCACTATAAATGCATATTGCCCACCGTTCGCTGTTTTCCTGAAGCCACTGGGTGCGAGTGCCCTTTCATTGCTGCTTGCAGCTTTAATGATATTAATGTCATTCATGTTGTTTGACATGATCAGGGCCAGTATGTTTGAGTTCACTCAGCAGTTTGAGCAGATGCTGATGCTGTTCATCTTCCAGCTCTGATGTCTGTGTTCACACACGTCTGTTCTTGTGCTCAGAGGCGTTCTCCTGGAAGAAGGTGGAGCCCAAGGGCAAAGGCCCATGTCCCAGACGGAGACAGTGCTGCTGTATGGTGGGAGATCGCATCATCCTCTTCGGAGGAACCAGGTGAGATCCTCATGCTTCACTCGCTTCTGCTGTGTGCTTCCTTCCAAAGTGAGTTTACTGGGAAACAAACATGCACAACACCATGTGGTGTTGAGCATAAAACTGCATGATCATCCGTCACATACATGACAGCGTTCAACTGCAGCAAATCAGTCTGAATGTAGAGACGCAGGATAAATATATGTCGAAATTCTAGAAAATCAAACTCAAGTAAAACTTTAAATGTTGACAAAACCTTGTTTAAAACCTTTGAAAAGAAAAAAGTTCTGGAGTTTAAAAAGCCTTGACATTTGACGGTTTGTAGGCCAGATAGATAGATAGATAGATGATAGATAGATAGATAGATAGA